TAATGAGTAGCATAAAGGTTAAGATATCAAATGCGCTGGGCACATTTTTCTTGGCTTAGTGAACATGTGCCAAGTGAACTATGTTTTATTTTAAATAAACGTTCTAAAGCCATTGCTTGATATCTTCTTAAGTGAATGCGAACAAGGAATGCAAGCTTTTCCTGTTGTGAAAAAAGTACATTCTACATTTTAGCCATATGTCCATGAAGAAATGGCCTTTTTCATGTTCTCTTATCATAGATTTCATAAGTAGTTCAATAATAACCAGGATTTCTGTTTGCTTTCTTTCTTTTATCTTCTTTTCATTTTGCATTTGTATTCCTATTTGTCTTCCTACAAGGATTATGTAGGAAATAACATTTCTTTTTACAGTGAAAAGATTTTGTGCTATTGTGAAAGTGTCTTCACAGGAACTCATTGAACACTTTAATCATATGGCTCCCTGAAAGACTGATTTGATTTATTCAAAGGGTGGATTTATTATATGGTCATATTGAGCAATGTGTCTTAATAGTGAAGGAATAAGAGAATATATAGCCTAAGTGTCTTCTGTTATAGGAAGATGAAGGACACAAAATATCAAAAATATTTCTGGTTCCTGGAATATCAATCAGCAGCTGTTCCCAAACATGCCATCTTAAGTTGCCATGGGACATTTGCTTGAGGGTGGAGCTACCTTAGGGCTAGACATTCCTGTGAAAACCTGGGTTTACAGGAGTGTAAAGGACCTCCTGAGGGATTGGTTTTCTTCTTGCTATCACAAGCACCACATGCAGTGTTTACACATCAGAAGAAGAGTGGAGGATAGCAGAATTCCCAGGTGGGAAGGGTGGGAAAAAGTCAAGACAATGCAGATATGCTAAAATTAGTACAACCTGTATGGGGAAACAGAAGGTCTGAGCTGGGCTTTTTACCAGAATAAAGGATGAGCTCACTGCATGATAGCTCACTGCCTGCCCTATATCAGCTATCACTGCCTTGCATCATTTTTTTTCTCTCCCTCCTGAGGGCAGCCCTTGATTTAGTAAAGGTTTGTAGAACAGGTGGATTAAAGATTAGTAGAATCTCAGTTCTCTCATCTTCTGTGTTAGCATGTTACGCAGACAGGAGCCCTGGAGAAAGCTGCCATCCCAGAGTGGAGTGTTACACACCTCCACTCCAGCAGAAGCTATTAGCACCATGTGTTTTGCCTTCTTGAGTAAATGCACTGTTCACCTCAGCTGGGGCTGCCATCTAGACAAATGAAGGTGTTTACCCACAATGTGTTTTCATCGTAGTTGAGGATTGTTTACTAACTACTGACTAAGACTGCTCAGAGTGGGAATTCTTCATGACCTTCACTGTAAAAGTTGTAAGTTAGAAATGATATTGCCTCCTATGAATGCTGGGGAGGGGTTCCTTCATTTTTTCAGATGTTTCAGCTGTGGCTACATTTCATCCACAGCATCTAATCCTGCTGGCATTAAAAACAACATTTTCATGACTGTTTTGCCTTTCTCTTTCATTCCACCTATCATCCCTCTTTGCTCTGTCTTGTTTTCTCTGAACAACTTTTCCCCGTCAAGAAGAGACATACCCCACAGCCTGGATAATATTTGTTTTTGTCATATCCTCCTAATATCAAGTTGCCTCACAACAACCTCAACATCGGTTTCTCTGGCAGAAAACAGAAAGTGTATCTAACATGTTTAATCTTCCACAAGGAAACTGCTAGTACAGGGAGGAACTGAAGCCATGACTCCTGGGTGCTACGTACTTTGGTACTTGCAAAAAGTGGCCCAGTCTTCTTCCTTAAATATTGTCTCACCGAAGCATGCTAAAACAACCATGGGGGTAAGAAACTGCAGCCAGAAAGAAAGCTAAGCAGTGCCGACCTAAATGCCAAGATACTATTATAGTGATAGGAAAACCCGAAAGCTCAGAATCAAAAGACTTTCCTTTTGTAAGAGTTAGGATTTCAATGCCAAGAAGCATTGTATTTCATGTGGAGTGCATTTTCACTTGTATTTACTCTATGCTACTCAGTAGGGATGGTGCTCTCCTTATAGCTGGTACAAGAATTAACCATATTCTTCTAAACCAACCTAAAATTGCCTTTTATGCTCATATTTCTCCTGAGTGTGACCAAACTAGACCTTTAGGAGACCAAAACTCTTCTGAGGTCTGAGAGGTGAGGTACAAACAGAAGAAAAGACTGCTCCTAATGTAAGGAATAAGTAAGAGATATGCATAGAAAATGCAAATGTTGTATAAGCTAGGGTCTTCAGCCCAAGTTAAGGCAATAGGAATCAAAGAAAATGGCCATTGCCAAGAAGTGATGGCAAGAATGAATTTTTCACGTGACTGGTTAGAACAGGACACAAAGTAAGACCAGGCTGGCTTAACTGACCAAAAAAATCAGAAATTAATATTAAGATTTGGATCAAGCCTGCCTAGAAATGGCCATAAACAAAACACATCTATTTACCATATTTGTGATAACACTAATAGTATATGTATATGTACACTATGTGCACTGACTTACTGTATATACACACTAATAATAAATTAATATACACTGATACTCTACTAATATACATTAATAATATACATTATTAATAAACCTGTGCATGTATATAATTGTATGTCACTTCAACTTGTCTCAAATATTTACTGTTCCTGAGTGTTCCTGAAACACAGACAAAGCTCATTAGAAATGCTGAATATGTTCTCCAGTCTTCCTACTAGAGAGGGCCAGTTTGAATGGCTTTGTTTAAATTAATTTGCATTCTTCCTTACCTAAATCAGTCAGTCAAGAGACGTGCTAGCCCTGAGTCCTGGATGCACAGTCTGCAAATGCCAGCTTAGGGAGCTCATGCACCTTCCTCCAGTAGCAGAGCACATGACTGGACCTATTGCACATGAGCAGTAGAGTCAGCCCTTCTCAGAAGAACTGTATAACACATCTACATGTCTGGAAAGAGCTAAGGGTCTCAAATTATAACTAAAAAATTGATTTTCATAACTGTGGTCTGACACCAGAGATGTGTGTGTGTGCTCACACAGTGGACTTAGGTCGCCAGTTCTCTGTCTGATCCAACAGCTTCTTGGCTAGTCATCTGTATAGATGAGATAACAAACTGGTTGGACACAATGGACTAACTCGAAACCACCCTGAAAACAGGAGATTGATTGAACCTTCACAAGTAAACATTGATGGACTCTTACAGGAGCTGGAAATTTTGGGCACTGCTAGAAATTCCCAGGTGCAACTCCTGCTTTGCTAGTCTCATTTATATGTTTAAGTGTGTTAATTAATATTCTGGGTGGAACGTCCCA